TTTCCTTTCAGCACTCTGAATATATCATGCCATTTTCTTCTGACCTAGAAAGTTTCTGCTGAAAAATCAGCTGATAGCCTTATGGGATTTTTTGCTGCTTTCTTTCTTGTTTTTTCTTGTTGCTTTAAAAAAAATTTTTTTTAATTTTTTTAACGTTTATTTATTTTTGAGACAGAGAGAGACAGAGCATGAATGGGGGAGGGTCAGAGAGAGGGAGACACAGAATCTGAAACAGGCTCCAGGCTCCGAGCTGTCAGCACAGAGCCCAACGCGGGGCTTGAACTCACAGACCGCGAGATCATGACCTGAGCCGAAGTCGGCCGCTTAACTGACTGAGCCACCCAGGCGCCCCTAAAAAAAATTGTTTTTAATGTTTATTTTTGAGAGAGAGAGACAGAGTGCAAGGTAGGAAGGGGAAGAGAAAGAGGGAGACAAAGAATCCGAAGCATGCTTCAGACTCTAAGCCATCAGCACAGAGCCTGACACGGGGCTTGAACTCATGAACTGTGAGATCACGACCTGGGCTGAAGTTGGACGCTTAACTGACTGAGCCACCCAGGAGCCCTTTTTCTTGCTGCTTTTAAGATCCTCTCTTTCTCATTTGTCTTTTCCATTTTAATTATTGTGTCTTGGGGTGGGCATCCTTAGGTTCATGTTGTTAGGGGCTCTCTGTGCATCCTGGACCTGGATGTCTGTTTTCTTCCTCAGGTTGGGGAAGTTTTCTGCTATTACTTTCTCAAGTAAATTTTCTTAAAAAAAATTATTTATTTATTTTAAGAGACAGAGAGAGAAAGAGAGAGAGAGAGAGAGAGAGAGCACGCACGAGGGATAGGCAGAGAGAGAGGGAGAGAAAAAATCCTAAGCAGGCTCCATGTTGTCAGTACAAAGCCCAAAGTGGAAGTCGATCTCATGAATCAAGAGGTCATGACCTGAAGTGAAATCAAGAGTCGGTTGCTTAACCAACTGAGCCACCCAAGAGCCTCTCAAGTAAATTTTCTGTCCCCTTCTCTGTCTTCTCTTTCTTGGATTCTTATAATGCAGATGTTATTGTGTTTGATAATGTCACAGAATTCCCTTAACTTATTTTCATTTTTATTGTTCTTTTTTCTTTTTGATGTTTAGCTTGGGTGCTTTCTAGTAACCTGTCTTCCAGATTAGTCAGCCATTTTTTGCATCTTCTAATTTGCTGTTGCTTCCCTCTGGTATATTTTTTATTCTTTTATTGTATTCTTCAGCTATTATTGGTTCTTTTTTATATTTTCTTTTAAAAAAATTTTTTTTAACGTTTATGTATTTTTGAGACAGAGAGAGACAGAGCATGAACGGGAGAGGGTCAGAGAGAGAGGGAGACACAGAATCTGAAACAGGCTCCAGGCTCTGAGCGGTCAGCACAGAGCCTGACGCAGGGCTCGAACTCACGGACCACGAGATCATGACCTGAGCCGAAGTCAGATGCTTAACCGACTGAGCCACCCAGGCGCCCCTATATTTTCTATGTCTTTATTGAAGTTCTCACTGAACTCATCCATTTCTTTTTCTTAAGTCCAGTAAGTATCTTTATGACCATTACTTTTAACTCTTTATCAGGTAGACTGCATATCTTCCTTTCATTTAGTTCTTTTTCTATGATTAGTGTTATTCTTTCATTTGTGACATATTCCTCTGTCTCCTGATTTTGTCTAATTCTCTGTGTTTGTTTCTATGTATTAGGTAGGTAAGCTACATCTCTCAGTCTTGAAAGTAGTGGCCTTGTACAGAAGAGATCCCGTGGTGCTTTATAGCTAAATCCTCCCTTGTCACCAGAACCCAAGTGCTCTGGGGGTGTCTTCTATGTGGGCTGTGTGCACCCTCCTGTTGTGGCTGAGCTGTGATTACCCTTAGACCAAAGAGCTACAATTACCCACTTTGTCTGCCGAGGTACATTGGGCAGGGTTTGCTCCTCAAGCTATTGAGAGGCTCAGCTATGACCACTGTAGGCTTATTGGTGGGCAAGGCTGACACTCATCCTAGCTGTCTGCAGTTAGGTCTGTCATACACCTGCAGGCACACCCTAAGGCAGGGCTTGCTCCCTGAACAGCCGGCTAAGAGGCCTGATGGTAGGAACTGTGGACATGCTGATGTGGGGTGTTATCTCCCCTGCTCTCCAGGGCAGGAGTCACTTTGGAATGGTACAGGTCTTCTGGGGCTGCCTGGTGGGTGTGGTGGGGCAGGAGCTGGTTTGGAGGGATGCCTGCCAACGTGGGTTGGTTGGGTGGGGTGGGTCTGCAGGGGGACACTGGGGTTTGACACACAGTGCTGGCAAGGTAAATGGAGAATGTTAGAACTGGCTCCCACAAACATTAAGCTATCTAGGCTGGGGGAGGACAAGAAGAATGGTGCCCAGTAGCACCTTTGTTCCCAGAGAAATCTTCTGCAGATCCCTGCCCCACTGGCACACATTCTAAGGTTAGTCAGTAAATTTCCTTCATGTATACCCCAGGTGATTTTCAAACTGCTGTTTTGTGCCGTGTCTTAGGCAAGTTATTTAGCATGCTGGCTTTTTTAATGGTGAGGACTTGGTTTCCTGTCACCCTCCTGCTTCCCCAGAGTTAAACCCCACTGATTTTTAAAGCTCCTAGAGTTAAGCCCCACTGATTTTCAAAGCCAGATGTTATGAGGACTCTTCCCAGTGTGGGTCCTCAGGGCAGGGTCTTATTCTTTCATACTTGGGATATCCTTCCCATACATGATTAGTCACATTTGGGGGTAGGGGTTGGTTCTAGATGGTGCCTCCACCCCACCTACCCTTTTTTGATGTGGCCTTCTATGACTGGTTGTGGAAAGCTATTCAGCCAGTCTTATGGTGGTTTTCAGAGTTAGCTGTATAGATGTAGCTGTTGCTTCAGTGTGTCCATGGGATGAGGTGAGCTCAGGATCTTCCCACTATGCCTTATCCCTCTCTCTGACCTGGAAGGCATTTGTAAGAGTATGGAGAACCAGGAGTGATAAATGGATTGAAATCATAGGGAGTAGTCTGATTCTTTCTTTTTTTAAAATTGTGGTAAGAACATTTAACATGAGATCTACCCGCTTAACAAATTTTTAAGTGTATAATACAATATAGTTAACTGTAGGCACTATGTTGTACAGCAGGTCTCTAGAACTTACTCATTTTGAATAACCAAAAGTTTATACTTGTTGAATAACAACTCCCTATTTCCCTCTGCATTCAGCCCCTGGAAACTACCATTCAATTTTCTGTTTCTATTTAAGTTTGACTTTTAAATTTTTTTAATATTTATTTTTATTTTTTTTTTTTTGAGACAGATAGAGCGCAAGATGGGGGGGGGGGTGGTGCAGAGAGAGAGGGAGACACAGAATCCAAAGCAGGCTCTAGGCTCTGAGCTTTCAGCAAAGAGCCTGACACGGGGCTTGAACTCCCCAACCTCTAGATCATTACCTGAGCCAAAGTCGACACTTAACCATATGAGCCACCCATGTGCCCCTAAGTTTGACTCTTTTAGATAATTCATATAAATGGACTTGTAGTATTCGTCCTTCGGTGACAGGCTTATTTCACTTAGCATAATATTCTTCAGGTTCATCCATGTTGTTGCATATAGCAGGATTTCTTTTCTTTCTTAAGGCTGAATAATATTCCATTGTCTCCATATACCACATTTTTTTTTTAACCATTCACTTGTCGGTGGATATTTAAGTTGTCTCTAAAGCTTGCGTATTGTGAATAATGCTACCATGAACATAGGAGTATAACTATTGCTTTAGGTATTTATATATCAGCTACATCTCCTGATTTTAGTTCTTTGGATATATACCCAGAAGGGAGAAGTGGGATTGCTGGATCATATGGTAGCTCTATTTTTAATTTTTTGAGAAACCTTCATACTATTTTCCATAGCAGCTGCACCATTTTACGTTCGTATCAACACTGTACAAAGGTGCCTATTTCTACACGAGCTCTCCACTACTTGTTATTTTTCCTATTGTTGATAATAGCCATCCTGATACATATGAGGTGATTATGGTTTTGATTTGCATTTTCCTAATGATTAATGATGTTGGGCACCTTTTTGTATACCTGTTGGCCATTTGCATGTTTTCTTTTGAGAAATGTCTGTTTAAATCCTTTGCCCATTTTTAAATTCAGTTTATTTGTATTTTTGCTATTGAGTTGTAGGAGTGGAACAATCTCATTCTCAATGGTAGTTAAAATGGAGTTCCTGTATGAAATCCCCAGGGAGTGCAAAAGGGAGATGAAAAGAGCCAAGGGCAGTATCTAGGAGGCACTCACATTTCAAAGAGAGACTAAGGAGGGAATCTAGTGTAGGAAACTGAGGCATTTCCCCCAGTAGGCAAACTATTTTAATTTGAAATCCAGCAAGGAAACAGTATCAGACTGAAGAAGCTGATTTAAAATTATTTCTTTCAATATTTAATATATGTGTTCATACCTTGCAGGTAGTAGATAAACGAAATATTTTTTCATTTTTCTAATTCTAAGGTAAAATGTAATATTCATTTAATGTATGTTTAACTGTTTCGTCTAGGGAGGGTTTTTCATGCTTTGTCTTTTAAGTAAGTCTTTAATTATTTCTAGATTGAGAGCCTACCAGAAAAATTATGATTTCCTCCATTACTTCTGGATCTGTATTTAATAACTTACTGTCTATAAATAGTATCAGGCAATGCAGTAATTATGCAATTACTAAAGGTCATCGTTGATGTAAATATATTTCATTCAGATGCAAACTTTTCCTACCATATTATAAACTTCATAAATACACTGATCCATGCTTGAAATTGGTACAGATTTATAACATATTGACACTAATAGTTTAGAAGTTGCCTAAAAATATTTCTCTGTCATTTGCTTCCAAGATGACAGTATTTTCAGGCATATGGTGAGCACTTGATCTAGCTCTTCTGCCCCAGCAGATTTCAAGATTATGTCTGTGCAGTATAATTTGTTATCACATAGATGTGTTTACTTTCATATGTAGCAGAACACTGGACCCAGCCTCAGAAGACCTGAAGTTGAAGTCCTGCTTCTTCTGTCTTAAATGTTATAACCGGGGAAGTCCGTTCAGTTTATTTCAGTGAATCCTTTACTGAATTTCTGGTATTACCAAGCACCAGAGAAACCAATCTAAATAAAATACAGTCTTAAGAGAGATGCAGACATATGAAAACCATTCCAAAATAATGTGTGAGAAGTATGTGCGGGGCACTATGAATTTGACAGAGATCCTCCTTTTTCAGCTTGAGGCATAAAGGGTGGGCAGCTATTTCTGGAGATGTCTGGGGTGATTCTTAAGAGGTAAACATGTGTGGCAGGTTTGGGGGTTAGGGGGAAGTTGGGGACTGAAAAATCAGAAGATTGTTCAGCCACGGAGAGTATAATAGCAATGCCAAATGAAGAGCAGGGTATGCTGGGGGAATTCTGGGTAGTTTTGTATTACTTGAAAGTAAAATATGAGATGTGAGGCCAGCTTCTGAGGGCTTCATAGGCCAAGTGGAGTCTTAGGCTTTGGTATGTACTTGAAGGGACTTGTTGAAGTCTGTTAAGAATAGCAATCCCAGTCAAATACGCACTGCCGTTACTTATATAACTCTGGTGGGAGTGTGCAGGGTGCATTTGAAGGAAGCAATCCAGAGGCATTTGTGATGCTTCAGTGAAGCATGATAAGGGATTGAATTTGGATGGTGATAGAGTCAGAGAAAGGGAGAGCACAATTAAGAAAGAGTAAGGAAGTATCTATGTATTTATGACAGTGCTTGTTGAACCAGAAAAAAACAGCTTGAAGAGTGAAAGACCTGAACTTGAACCTTGCTTCATCATTTAAGGGTTTGAGCGCTGTGCAAGTTACTGTATTTTCTGACTTTCTGCATTTCTGAAAGTGAGGGTGACACTTCCTTTTGTTATCATGGGGATTAGATATAACCTAAAGCACCTGAAATAATACTTAAATGTAGAGTGTCTTTAAATGGTTGCTAGTATTACTATTCACATGACATCACTTAACATCAAAACCCTGACTCCACTCCTGCATTTTAGGTTTGTTGTGATATTACAGTAAGGTAAGTATTTGTTGATGGTGAATAATCTTTGGATAAGCAATCATTTCAGAAGATAAAATGTTTCATGTGCTACATTTTCCCTACTTGAAAGAAAAGTAGCTTTGGACCTCATTTTTAAAAAGTCTATAATTATAAATAATGCAGTTTATTGGTTTTTTAAGCTTTTTTAAAAAAAGCTTCTTCATTTACCTAGTGGGGGGTGGGGGTCGGGCAGAGGCAGAGAGAAAGAAAGAGAGAGAGAGAGAAGGAGAGAGAGAATCCTAAGCAGGCTCTGTGCTGTCAGTGCAGAGCCTGGCACAGGGCTCAATCTCACAAACGGTGATATCATTACCTGAGCTGAAACCAAGAGTCAGATGCTTAACTGACAGAGCCACCCAGGCACCCTTCAGTTTATTGTTTTATTGAATAAAAAAAAAAATCAGTGAGAATACTGGCTACTGAAATGCTAATAATGAACACATTTGGGAATTAGCTGTGTGGAGTTGTTACATTTATAGTGGTTAAGGTCACAGGAGAGCTGGGGTCAGATAGATGGCTTATTGTATGTCTCTGAGTAAGTTCATTTACCTCTCTATGCCTCAGTTTCTTGATTTCTAAGTGGCTGAACCTCCTAAGGTATTTGTGAGGATTAAATGAGAAAATTGCACATGTAACTGCTCAGCTGTACATGCCAAGGACTTACTAAATAGTGACCAATATTTTTTGGAGGGCAGTGTTCAGAAGAGTGACTTTATAGGCACTAACTCATTTAATTAAAACAAAAGAAAAAAGAGAAAACAAACAACATCCAAAGATGGGCATTAATGTTAAGCCCCATTTGCAGACTTGGGCATGTAGACTGAGAGGTGGGATTATGCTGTTCAAAATCACATAACAAGGAAGCAGTAGAACTAAAGCTAGACTAGTTCATTATATTCAGTGTTGCATTTCCTGAGTCTGATGTATACTCATACCAGGACCTGTGCCGGTGGCTTTCTCCCCTCACACCAACCCAGCCTGAGTCTTCCTCTCCCCCAGAGCTGTAGGACAGTCTCTGCTGAAGCACAATGGCGACCAACAGCTACAACACACACTGTGGTTTTATGGCAGAGCTGGATGCCACTCCACCCTGTACTGAGCTCTGGATGGCCCCGTCTGCTGAGGGTTTCAGCTCTAGTTTGGCTCCTCTTCCCATGAATGATACTCCCTGCCAATTCCCTACCTCCCATTTGCACCAGGAGCTGCCCAACTGGGGTGCATATTCCTGGAGTGAAAGAATTTTACTGATGCTCCTTTCGGAGTCCTAGGTTCCTCTCTTCCATCACCTAGAACAGCCTCAGCCTCTCTGTTTTATGTGAGCTGATAGGCTGTAGACTTAATTACTACATGAGTAAGGTCATGGGTTTTTTTATTGCAGATAGACACTATGCACAAGCCCTTTTCAAAATAAGTGATAGGTATCTTTGTTATAAATGATAATAACAATACCAATGAGCTCAGTAGAGGTAACGGCTGGAAGAATCTCATTTGTGAATGAACACGCTTGTTTATGGGAAGGCTCTGTTTTTCATGTGTCAGCTCTATCCTCTTTTACAGATAAGGACAAGCAGATAAAACCATGGAATTTGATTTGCTTTCCAGATAGATATATGCTCCCCCGACTCAAATTCAAAGATAAGCTTTTGGTTGGCTGTTGAGGGCTTCAATGAAATAGAAGTTGACAATTTCCTGATCTCAACTTCTCAAATGCGTTTGGAGCTCTTCTTTCTCATGTCCCCATGATTACATAACAGGCCTTATATTACAGTCTGAAGTTTTTTTTAGCCTTGGGGGACTCTACTCTTAAGACGAATCACTGTCAAGATTTGCATAGTCATAATTGCCATTTTGGTTTTATCTACTTTTCCCTGCTCATTTTTATGTAGATACACTGGTGAGACTACCAATAAGTGTCTCTAATTGAGAAAGAAAACTTAAATCAATCCTAAAAAGAATTGTTCTGTATATCTAGTTCTGCCTTCACTTGTGGTGCCAAAGAGGTAGTTCATAATCACAGTGGCTGCAGTGGTGTTCGTTATAGAAGTTATCTGCCCATTGGAATAGAAAGGGAAGTAGCTTTGAACTTTTTAAAATCCAATAGAACTATGCTAATTCATGAATAAACAATATCATATGTTTTGTAAAAACATTAGCTATCATGTCCATATGTGTTTTCCTGAATGTTTTTTTAAATTTTTAAATTTTTAATTTATTTTTATTTAGTTTTTAATATGAAATTTATTGTCATATTGGTTTCCATACAATACCAGTGCTCCTCTCAACAGGTGCCCTCCTCAATACCCATCACCCACCCTCCCCTCCCTCCCACCTCCCATCAACCCTCAGTTTGTTCTTAGTTTTTAAGAGTCTCTTATGTTTTGGCTCCCTTCCTCTCTAACCTTTTTGTGTTTTCCCTTCCCCTCCCCCATGGACTTCTGTTAAGTTTCTCAGGATCCACATAAGAGTGAAAACATATGGTATCTGTCTTTCTCTGTATGACTTATTTCACTTAGCATAACACTCTCCAGTTCCATCCACATTGCTACCTACAAAAGGCCATATTTCATCCTTTCTCATTGCCAAGTAGTACTCCATTGTGTATATAAACCACAATTTCTTTATCCATTCATCAGTTGATGGACATTTAGGCTCTTTCCATAATTTGGCTATTGTTGAAAGTGCTGCTATAAACATTGGGGTACAAGTGCCCCGATGCTTCAGCACTCCTGTGTCCCTTGGGTAAATTCCTAGCTGTGCTACTGCTGGGTCATAGGGTAGATCTATTTTTAATTTTTTGAGGAACCTCCACACTGTTTTCCAGAGAGGCTGCACTAGTTTGCATTCCCAGCAACAGTGCAAGAGGTTTCCCGTTTCTCCACATCCTCGCCAACATCTATATTCTCCTGATTTGTTCATTTTAGCTACTCTGACTGGCGTGAGGTGTTATCTGAGTGTGGTTTTGATTTGTATTTCCCTGATGAGCGACGTTGAACATCTTTTCATGTGCCTGTTGGCCATCTTGATGTCTTCTTTAGAGAAGTGTCTATTCATGTTTTCTGCCCATTTCTTCACTGGATTATTCGGTTTTTTTTTGGGTGTGGAGTTTGGTGAGTTCTTTATAGATTTTGGATACTAGCCCTTTGTCCAATATGTCATTTGCAAATATCTTTTCCCATTCCGTTGGTTGCCTTTTAGTTTTGTTGATTGTTTCCTTTGCAGTGAAGAAGCTTTTTATCTTCATGAGGTCCCAATAGTTCATTTTTGCTTTTAATTCCCTTGCCTTTGAGCATGTGTCAAGTAAGAAATTGCTGCGGCTGAGGTCAGAGAGGTTTTGTCCTGCTTTCTCCTCTAGGGTTTTGATGGTTTCCTGTCTTACATTCAGATTCAGGTCCTTTATCCATTTTGAGTTTATTTTTGTGAATGGTGTAAGAAAGTGGTCTAGTCTATTTTTCTGCATGTTGCTGTCCAGTTCTCCCAGCACCATTTGTTAAAGAGACTGTCTTTTTTTCATTGGATATTCTTTCCTGCTTTGTCAAAGATTAGTTGGCCATACTTTTGTGGGTCCAATTCTGGAGTCTCTGTTCCATTCCATTGGTCTATGTGTCTGTTTTTGTGCCAATACCATGCTGTCTTGATGATTACAGCTTTGTAGTAGAGGCTAAAGTCTGGGATTGTGATGCCTCCTGCTTTGGTCTTCTTCAATATTACTTTAGCTATTCAGGGTCTTTTGTGGTTCCATAGAAATTTTAGGATTGCTTGTTCTAGCTTCGAGAAGAATGCTGGTGCAATTTTGATTGGGATTGCACTGAATGTGTAGATAGCTTTGGGTAGTATTGACATTTGAACAATGTTTATTCTTTAATTTTTTTTAATGTTTATTTATTTATTTTTTTTTTTTTGAGAGACAGAGCACGAACGGGGGAGGGGCAGAGAGAGAGGGAGATACAGAATCCAAAGCAGGCTCCAGGCTCTGAGCTG